TGACTAATTAACTTATTATCAATAACTGACTAATTAATCAATAATTAATTAATCAACATCAATGGTTGACTAATTAACTTAAGTATTATCAATAACTGACTAATTAATCAATAATTGAGTAATTAATCAATATCAATAATTGACTGATCAACTTAAGTATCATGAATAACTGACTAATTAATCAATAATTGAGTAATTAATCAATATCAATAATTGACTGATCAACTTAAGTATCATGAATAACTGACTAATTAATCAATAATTGAGTAATTAATCAATATCAATAATTGACTGATCAACTTAAGTATCATGAATAACTGACTAATTAATCAATAATTGAGTAATTAATCAATATCAATAATTGACTGATCAACTTAAGTATCATGAATAACTGACTAATTAATCAATAATTGAGTAATTAATCAATATCAATAATTGACTGATCAACTTAAGTATCATGAATAACTGACTAATTAATCAATATCAGTAATTGACTAATTAGCTTAAGTGTTATCAATAACTGACTAATTAATCAATAATTGAGTAATTAATCAATACCAATAATTGACTAATTAACTCGAAGTATTATCAATAACTGAACAATTGACTAATTAATCGAATATTATCATAATTTTGGAAGATTTTTCCAGTTTATGCAAATTATTTAGTATGAACACAACATGTTTTACTGATTCATATCATTTCTTATTTTTTATTTTTTACTTTTTTAACATTTTTTTTTACTTTTTTTTATTTTTACTTTTTTTTACTTTTTTTAATATCATTTCTTATTTTATTTTTTTTTTTTACTTTTTTAACACTTCTAAGCTAATTGTTTAATTCATGTTATCCATTTCTTTTTTTTTTTATTTCTCTAAAAAAACCCTTCGTATGATTATTACTTTTGATTTGTTTTAGCAGAATAGCAATTCAAATATAAGAAATTTACAAATTTTGCAATATTTTCTTTCTTTTTTTTTTTTTAAATCCAATCAATGAGATCAAATATGAATCGATTACACAGATTAGAAATTAAAATTTCACAAAAAAAATTGCAATATAATTGTATAATGTTAAATAATAAAAATTAATTATTATAAAAATATAATAAAAATTAATCAAACAATTTATGCATAGGTCATCCATTCGTTATCGTTATTCAATTGACCTTGACCTGCTCATTGACCTTGACCTTTGATTAATAATAATAATAATAATAATAATAATAATAATAATAATAATAATAATAATAATAATAATAATAATAATAATAATAATAATAATAATAACTTTAATTCGATGATGATAATAGTGTACAGCTTTACCATATATAAATTATCAATAAAATAACATATATGTGATTAATTCTCATAATAATATTTATTCCAAAAATAATTATATAACTTATCATTTTTCTTTTTTTTTTAATATTATTTTAATTCACAATGTTATATCATTGATTGCTTTATTTGAAATTTATTTTACAATAAATTTCAAATTATTATTTCCATTTAAATTAAATTATTTATTTATTAAAAAAAAAAACAAAAAACAAAAGAATAATTTTTAATAATTAAAAAAAAATCAAAACCCATTAATTTAATTCAATTAAACATTTTATTTTCAATTATAATTGTAAATTTTTTTTTTTTTTGCAATATTTATTTTAATTACTCTTTCATTTTTCAAGCAAAAATAAAAAAATATTTTATTGGTGAAGAAAAAAAAAAAAATAATAATAATAATTAGATGCCAAAAAGACCTGGGAAAGCGTTATGACAGATGATGAAAGCCTGGTTATTGATGAAATATGAATAAATCAATGAGTGATTGATTGATTGGTTGATTGAACTGATTGAACAGTCAATCGATATACATATACATATATATATAATATAAATATAAATAACAAAAAAAAAAAACAACATTGTTAAAAAAAGAAAATATTTTCATGGTAGATTATTTGGACCCTGTTAGTGCCCAATTAAGACTAATTAATTAATTAATTAATTAATCAATTAATTAATTACTACTAGCTAAACAATACTTTTAAAAAAAAATGATAGCAAAAGAAGAAAAAGAAAACACTGGCGAGTCGATGAGGTTCCATTTAAGGACACCATTTGAGGCACATAATATACCTCTAAACACACATACACACATACACACACACACATACACCTACACATACATACACACATACAGGTGTACATACAGACATACACATACACACATGCATACATACATAAATAAATATTAACTTTTTGTTTTTGTTTTTGTTTTTTTGTTTTTTTACCTCATCAAATCTTTCCTTTTCTTTCTTCTATTTCATATAATTAATTCATTCATAAATAAAACAAAAAACAAACAAACAAACAAACAAACAAAAAAATTAAACCATAAATTTTAAAAGTTTCTTTCTTTCTTTCTTTTCTTTTTTTTTTTTCTTTCAAATTCTCAAAATATTTATTATTATATTTATTTTTTTTTTAAAAATTAAAATGAATAATAATAAAAAAAAATGATAACGAATCATTTATTTTCTTTTCTTTTACTTTTGCTTTTTTTAATGATAATAATTTATATATTTTTTTTTTTCTTTTAATCAAATGATAACGGTCAATTAAATTACCCGTGATCAATGATGCAAAAAAAAAAGAAAACAATTTATGATAATGAAAAAAAAAAGAAAAAGAAAAAAGATACTTTTAAAAAGAAAAAAAAAAGAAATTGAAATGAAATAACACAAAAATAATAATAATAATAATAATAAACAAGGAGGTAGTTTAAAAATCACTGTGTATTTTTAACATATTTAAAAATTAAAAAAGTATATAAATAAAATAAACATTGTAAAAAAATGATAATTTAAATAAAAATAAAAATAAAAAAAAAAAGCTAAATGGAATACTAAATTGAGGACAATTCCAATCAATTACTATACAATTTTAGAGTGACAAAAAAAAAAAAAAAATATTCACAAATTATAAATTAATAAAATTCACCTGTTATAATTTCTCATATATATCATTATTTTATTTTATTATTTATTTATTTATTTTTTGGAAGAGATGAAATTTTTATAAATGTATTTAAAAAAAAAAAAATTGGCTTAAAAAATTAATTAGCATCAATTTTCAACAAAAAAAAAAATTTTTTTGAAAAAATTATCAAATTTTTTTTTTTTTGTAGTTAAATTAATTTTATTCAATTTTATATACAATTTTCTTTTTTTAATTATCAAAAAGTATAAATTTAGCTAGAAATAATCAATCAAAAAATGATTTCTATACAATAAAATGAAGAAATTTATTCCATTTCTTTTTATATATTATTTAAAAAAAAAAACTTAAAAATAAAAGTATTATTTCTCGTCCAAAAAAAAAAAATAAATAAATAAATGTAAAAATACCGGGACGAAAACATTTAAAAGTCCGTAAATAATTCCGTAACAGTTTGAGAAAGATAATAAACAAAAGAAATAAAAAAAATGCATCCTGAAATGAACACCGGTTCCATTCAATAAAAAAAAAAATAAAATAAAAATATTAATTTAATAATTAATATAACTCACTGGGTTTTTTCTAATATTAATGATTAACCGGTAAAATTGTATAGCATAGAGAGCACTTTTCTTTCTGTGTAGATCGTAATAACAAAATTTAAATTTAAATTAATTAATAATCTATTTTTTTTAAAAAAAGTAATTAACAAACTTATTTATTAGTTATTTTGTCGAGAATAAAGAAAAGAACTGCTATATTTCTATAATAATAATTTAAAATTAAATGAAAATTAACAAAGAAAAATTATTTTAAAGATCATTTTTTTAAATTAGCTAATAAATTTAAATATTAAAATAGAGCAGTTCATTGTAAATAATTTTTTTATTCTTTAATAAGAGACAAAGAGAGAGAGAAAGAGAGAGAGAGGGAGAGAGAGAGAGAGAGAGAGAGAGAAAAATATCAAATTATTGATAATGATAATGCCTACTGATATCACTATTACTAGTAGTACTACTACTGCTATCACTGATTATCATTGTAGAAATTTCATACTCATATCAAAAATGTTAACAATAATTACAGTAATGATAATAATCATGATAATTAGTAATAATAATCATGATAATTAATGATAATAATCATGATAATTAATATAACAAATAATTAAAAATAATAATAATCATTTTTAAAAAAAAAAATATGATGACTATTTTGTAACAATAAAAATGAATACAATTCATATCATAATACTGTTATAATGAAAAAGTAGATGGAAAAAAGGACAGAGAGAGAGAGCGAGAGAGAGGGACAGAATGACAAAGACAGAGGGAATTTAAAAAAAAAATACAACAGTACAAAAAAAAAAACCTATATCACAATTTATATCTTTTATATTTACACATTCTAATAATTTTTATTTATTAAAAAAAAAAAAATTTATAAAATAGTTCCTTTTTCTTTTTTTTTTCTTTCTTTCGTTTTTCAAATTTAACATAAATTATATATCAAAAAAGAAAGATGGAAGAAAAAAAATTTTTTTTTTTGAAATTTAACAAAAAAAAATTACAAAAATATTTTTCATCAATTTATTTTCTATTTGCTAAAAAAAAACAAACAAATTTTGAGATTAAAAAAAAAAAAAGGGAGGAAAGAAAAACAATTATAGTGATATTTAAAAAAAAATCAATCAATCAATCAATTAAATCAAATCAAATCGATCAATTAAATCAAATCAAATCAATCAATTAAATCAAATCAATCAATCAATTTAAAAGAAGGAACCGGTTCAAAACTAGGATGAGGTATTTGACGATGACCCATACAAAAAAAAAACGTATATCTGATATCACACATACACATACACACACATACACATACACACACATACACATACACACACATATACACACACATACACATACACACACATACACATACACACACATACACACACATACACATACATACACATACACATACATGTTATATTAATATCTAAGTAGTTTTGAAGAATTCTTTTGGAAGTGCTTCCGATTGATTCGGATCAACACGTCCCAGGAATAGTGTTATAGCATTCTGGCTAATTGTTCTCAAAATCCTTAATGATTCCGGTAAACGTTCGTAACGTGAACGTGCCTCATGACCATACATTGATTCCATATAACTGAAAATAATTAAATTTAATAATGTATTTTTTTTAAAAAAAAAAAAAAAATAAATAAAATAAATTCAATGTATTTAATTTAAATGTAAATTAAATACAATTCTCATTTTTTGAAAATTAAATTAAACTTTTTTTTTTTTCTTCGATTAAATTAAAATTGTCAATCAATTATTAAATAATACTAATGCCAAAATGTAACAAAAAAAAAAAAATAGCAATATTTTGAACTAAATTGATTATGTAGCAATATTTTGAACTTAATTGACCAGTGCTGGTCATTTATGGTGTGGTCATTTTCTAGTTTAAATATTAAAATAGTAATTAAGTTTTGCGCAAAAATTTATCAGCAAAATTAATAAAACTTTCAATTAATCATGGTTCTAATTCAATTTAAGAATTAAAACAAAATTTTATTTCAAATTTAAATTTTGAATTTTTTAAAAATTTTCAGAAATATTATTGTAAACTTATCACAAATAATATCAATATTATATCAAAATTTTAAAGATAATATGCATTAAATGAAGTAATTCAGAATTAAATTTCCACATATTTAAAATCAATTATAATAAATGTTTCAAAATGAATAAAGTTGGTAAAGTTAACAAAAGAAAGATTAATTAATCAACTGTAATAATTAAAGTTTATTACATTATTACCATTGTTCTTTTTTCATTTTTTCAAAATAATGTATTAATTATTATTAATTTATGAAATAAAGTATACGTAGTTATTATTATTATTATTATTATTATTATTAACCTATAGAATAAAGTATACATAGTTATTATTATTATTATTAACCTATAAAATAAAGTATACATAGCTATTATTATTATTATTATTATTATTATTATTATTATTATTATTAACCTATAAAATAAAGTATACATAGCTATTATTATTAATCTATAAAATAAAGTATACATAGCTATTATTATCATTATTAACCTATGAAATAAAGTAATATAATAATACAAGAAAAAAAAAATTATATACCGATGCAAAAGAGCTTGATACTCTTGACAATGCCGGACAACGGTAATTCGATCAGCCGGATCCAGAAGTGCATCACGATTTGGATCAAACAACAAAATAAGAACAATTAAATCAATTGCAAGCTCATTATTTCGAAGATCTGGATGTAATGATTCACAAAATCTAAATAATAATTATATTCATTAAATTTTTAACAATTTCAATATTTTATTAATAATTACTAACTTTTTTTTTTTTTTCACTATCATATAACTAAGTTATATATTGTAAGTTAACATTAGCAAATGATATACTTATTTCAATTGATAATTTAATAATTTAATAAATTTCAATTGATAATGCTAATTTAAAATAATTATTATACTTTAAAAATCCTTCTTTTTGTCGATCACGAAGTCCCTCTTTTAATTGATCAAACATTTCCAATGATATTTTACTATCATCCGAAACAACCGGTGTCCGCCAACATTTTCGATCCATATCAAAACGTGTCACACCACGCATCGTTAACATTTCAACCATTCCACCTAAAAATTAAATTAAATGAATAAGTTTTTAAAATTAAAAAAAAAATTAAATTTTTCAAATTAAATTAAATTAATTTAAAATTTTAGGATGACAACATTTCAACCATTCCACCTAAAGATTACATTAAATGAATAAGTTAAATTTAATGAATAAGTTTTTAAAATTAAAAAAAAATTAAATTTTTCAAATTAAATTAAATTGATTTAAAATTTTAGGATGACAACATTTCAACCATTCCACCTAAAAATTACATTAAATGAATAAGTTAAATTTGATGAAGAAGTTTTTAAAATTAAATTTTTAATATTAAAAAAAAATTAAATTTTTCAAATTAAATTAAATTAATTTAAAATTTTAGGATGACAATGAGTTGCCATTCTTTTATTATATACTATTATTGTAAATTTGATATTACAAGAAAAATTGCTAAATTTTACCATTCTATTAAAGCATGTAAATGAAAAGAAAAGTATATAAGCTTCTGATAAGGCTTGATTTATATCAAATTTTATTATCATTTCTTATCAGTATATCATTTTCTTTGGAAAGGAAAATAGAACAGTAAAAAGTTTTAATGAAATCTTTTTTTTTTTTTTTTTTTTTTTTTTGTTATCAAATCTATAATTATAATAAGAAATTAGGTATTATCAGTAAGATTATAATTAAATCTATATAATCGATAAGTATTATCACTTTATTATCATCCCATCTATCTAATTTTTTTTTTTTTTTGTTATCAAATCTATAATTATAATAAGAAATTAGGTATTATCAGTAAGATTATAATTAAATCTATATAATCGATAAGTATTATCACTTTATTATCATCCCATTCATCTAATTTTTTTTTTTTTTTTAAAGATGGTTTTTTGTATGAAATTAACTTTACTATAATTAAATTTTATTTTATATAAAATACAATAATAAAATAAATACCTTTTAATAAAGCAAATTTTCCATCTTGTGATAAATCATTAAATGCTGGTAATTTTTTTGCCATTTTAACCAATCGTCGCATTGTAATATCAATAATATTAAGAATATCGGTTGGATCATGAGTAACTTTCTTTAGATATGCCGCTTTTCGAGAATCTTCAATTGGTTCATTCATACATGCAAATGCATCTCGAACCTATAATAAATAATTTTAGAACTTGAAATCCTTTAAAAAAAAAAATTCTAGTTCTAAATTGAAATTTTAAATTAAAAATTGGAATTGTCAAAAAATTTTTTTTAATATCATATCAATTATTAATAATATAACAAGATAGCATAGCATATCATATCATATCAAATTGTATTAGTTGAAAAAACATCATAAAAATAATTTTATAACTTGAAATCCTCAAAAAGAGAATTCTAATTCTAAATTAAAATTTTAAATTAAAAAATGGAACTCTCAAAAAAAATTTTTTTTAATATGATATAACTGTTAATGATACGACATGATGGCATATCATATCATATCAAATTGTATTAGCTGGAAAAACATCATGAAAATAATTTTATAACTTTAAATCCATAAAAAAATTCCAATTTTAAATTAAAAATTGGAATTCCCAAAAAAATTTTTTTAATATCATATCAATTATTAATGATATAACAAGATATCATATCATATCAATTAGCTGAAAATTGTATTAGTTGAAAAACCATCATAAAAATAATTTTAGAACTTGAAATCCTCAAAAAGAAAATTCTAATTCTAAATTAAAATTAAAAATTAGAATTCTCAAAAAAAATTTCTTTACTATCATATCAATTATTAATGATATAACATGATATCATATCATATCATATCATATCAAATTGTATTAGCTGAAAAAACATCATAAAAATAATTTTATAACTTAAATTCCTCAAAAAATTCCAATTTTAAGTTAAAAATTTGAATCATTAAAAATTTTTTAATATGATATCAATTATTAATGATATGACAAGATATCATATCATATCAAATTGTATTACTTGAAAAAGTATCAAATTTCACCAAGATAAAAAAAAAAAAAGGCAAACATTACTAACAATATCTAGTGCACGAAGTTCAGCTGAATTAAGTTGATAATTAAGTCGTGAGTCACCTTCATGATAAATTGCTTGCTGGAAAAAAAATTTTTTTAAATTTAAAAAAAAAAAGGAAGGAGAGAAACTATAAAAATTTAGCATAATAAAAGAAGAAATTAACATTTTTTTTTTTTAAATTTAATAAATTAATTAATTCATTTATTCAAAAATTAAATGAGAAATATACAATGTAAATTCTATGAAATATCCTAAAATTCATAATTAATAAATATTTTTTTAAAAAAAAACCTAAATTATCATTCTCTCTCTCTCCCTCTCTCTCTCTCTGATAATCACTAATATTGTAGACATATTTAAATAGATACATTGAATGTTATCAAAAAAAAAAATTTATTAATTATAAACAAAAAAATATATATATTTTATACTATCAAAATATTACACCACAAAATTTTTTTTTTTTTAGAGAAAAGAGAAATAAAAAAAATTTTTTGTTTGTTTGTTTGTTTTTTGTTTTTGTTTATTTGTTTGTTTATTTGTTTGTTTTTTTTTCAAAGAAGCATAAAAACGAGCTTTTAAAGTTTCACGTTCAGTGCATAATTTCGGTGAAATAGTATTCAGCTCATCGTGTATCGTATCGTGCATATATTTTACTTTTTTTTCCACGTCTGACGTTAATTTGAACGTTCCACGTGGTAAATTAGCTGCTGCAGCGCTTAATTCTGTATAATCGGTGATTGCTAAAAAAAGGAAAAAAAATTTTATAATTAATAAATTTTATAGTATAAAAAGAAAAATTAATTCAAATAATTGAAAAATTTTTTTTAGTGAATGAATGAATGAATGAATGAATGGATTATAATTTATTGAGATGAAAAAGAAAAAAAAATTATTATAACGTGAAATTATTTCATTAATTAATTTATTAAAATTATGCAAAATTATTTCATAACTAATTTATTAAAATTACATAATTACTTTTATTTTACTAAAATAAAATTATTCATTATTTTTTTTCTATACAAAATTCCAGTAAAATTTATGAAAAAAAATTGATATATATATGAAAATAATAATAATTAAAATACTAACGTAAAATTATTTCATGATTAATTAATTAAAATTATACTTACTTTTACTAAAATAAAATTAGTCATTATTTCTTTTTTTCTACACAAAATTCAATATAATTTGTGAAAAAAAATATATGAAAATAACAATAATAATAATAATTAAAATACTAACGTAAAATTATTTCATGATTAATTTATTAAGATTATATAATCACTTTTATTTTTCTAAAATCAAATTATTCATTACTTTTTTTTTCTACACAAAATTCAATATAATTTATGAAAAATTTATATATATATATGTATGAAAATAATAATAATTAAAATACTAACGTGAAATTATTTCATGATTAATTAATTAAAATTATATAATTACTTACTTTAACTAAAATAAAATTATTCTTTTCTACACAAAATTCAATATAATTTATGAAAAAAATATATATATGTATATATATATATGAAAACAATAATAATAATAATAATAATAATAATAATAATAGTAATAACAATAATAATTAAAATACTATCGTGAAATTATTTCTTGATTAATTAATTAAAATTATATAATTACTTACTTTTCCTAAAAATTATTCTTTTCTACACAAAATTCAATATAATTTATGAAAAATTTACATATATATGAAAATAATAATAATAATAATAATAATGATAATGATAATAATAATAATAATAATAATACTAACGTGTACATTGAATTAATGATGGTCGTATGATACCATGACTATTTCCAATATTCATTGCTGTTGTTGTTGTTGCTGTTGTTGTTTCATGATCAATTGGTGAATAAATATTTCGTTTAATATCATCCAATGTATTACAGATCGATTGTGATGAGCATGGATCAGAGCTAGAAGATGGTACCGCTGGTACCGGTGGTACCAAAGCACCACCTGCTTTAGCTGCTTTTACCAATGCTTGATATTCATCCATTGACATTGTTACATGTGGTTCTGGACCTAAACATTATACTGATAATGAAATAATTTAAAAAAAAAACTCATTATTATAATTTTAATGTTAGTAAAAAAAAAAAAATTTTTTTTTCTTATTTTTTATTTCTAATTTTTTTAATGAAATAATTTGCGTTATTTAATTCAATTAAAGCCTTTTTTTTCTCATCTATTTTTTTCTTTTTTTTAGAGAATATATGATGTTTATATTTGTTGAAATGATAAATAAAAAAATAACTATAATGTTTATATTTGTTAAAATGATAAATAAAAAAATAACTATGTATGTTTATATTTGTTGAAATGATAAATAAAAAAATAACTATAATGTTTATATTTGTTGAAATGATAATTAAAAAATAACTATGTATGTTTATATTTGTTGAAATGATAAATAAAAAAACAACTATGTATGTTTATATTTGTTGAAATGATAAATAAAAAAAAAATAACAATCTTTTGATAAACAAAAAAAAAAAGTATCACCTGTTCTAGCTAATGATGATAATGCTGAATTTGGTGGTAGCATTGCTGAACCACAACCATTTCGACGTAAATTTGCATAAGCTGCACTAGCAGCTACAGCTGCTTGTTGTCGTTGTAAACGCATCAAATTTGATTCGTACTAAAATTTTAATAAAATTTTACACCATAAAGCTAACCATGAAAGAATTACTTTAAAATGGGTTTTTTTGTTTTTAAATTTCATTTCAATTCCAATTATTAAAGTAGGAAAAAGATACAATTAAAGAGTACAATTTATAGATGAAAAAATTTGCTTAAATTATATTCAGAAAGTAATGTAAATTAAAATAAAAGATTTTAGAAAATTTGAAGGAATATTTGAGGAAAAAAAAAAAAAAAAAAAACAAAATATGAATTGAAAAAAAAAAGGTAGGAAATAAGCTGATCTATAAATATTATCGCTTCATTTTTTTTTTTTTTTCTTACTTGGTATCATAAGTTTTTCTTTTAAAATATTAAAAAATATTTTAACAGTTTCCTTTTTTTTTTGGAGGGGATTTTGGAGGAGGGGTAGGGGTAAGGTGGAGGAAGAGAAGAGGAGAAGAGAGGAGGGAGAGGGAGAAAGAGAGAAAATAAAAATTTAAACAAAATAGGCTTCTATGCTTATAAAATTTTATAGCATGAAATGAAGAGTAATAAAGGAATTTTATAATAGATAAATGCTGATATTGAAGGTAATAAATAATAATAGTAATAATAATAATAATAAATAATAATGATAATGATAATAATAAATGACAATGATAATAATAATAATAATAATAAGAAGAAGAAGAAGAGGAAGAAGAAATAATAAATAATAACAATAATAACAATGATAATAATAATAAATGATAATAAATAACAATGATAATAGTAAGAAATGATGATAAATAACAATGATAATACATAACAATAACAGTAATGATAATAATAATAATAATAAGAAGGAGAAATAATAGATAATAATCATAATAATAAATAATAACGATGATAATGAAAATAAATACTAATAAATAATAACAACGATAATGATAATAACAATAATAATAATAAAACATACGGCATCGCTGCTGGTATCGAGCTGAGGTAGACCGATTAGAGCACTATGTGTCGGGGAATCAGGTGATGAGGAAGATAGTACTGAGGGTGAAACAGTTGAATTAGTAGGACTTAGCATCTAAAATAAATTTATTATTAAATAAGCAAAAAAAAAAAAAAGATAAAATTTTTTAAAAATTATAAAAATTTTAATTCATATATAATATATAAGAATAAACTTTAGACACAATTAAATTTAAGCTCATTTCAACAATAGCTTCAATAATTATATCTAATTTTTTATATGAAATGATAACAATATTTCACTGATAATAATAATAATAATGATAATAATGATAATGATAATAATAATAATGATAATGATAATGATAATGTTAATAAGATGAAGAATGAATTATCAAACCGTATGAACAGCGGATGGACTAACAAGTGTCGCATCTGATTCCCTGCGATGAATCATTTGAGCTGCACTAAACATAGCTGCTGAAAATATATATTCCAGTAATTTTTTTTTTCTTTTAAATTATGTTTAAAATTAATTTAAAATATAATTTATAATTAATTTAAATTTAATTAATTTAAATATATATATATATATATAACATCCTCATTAAAGTGATTAATTGAAATATAATAATATATCAATGTTGAGAATAAAAAAAGAAAAAAAAACACATTACTTAAATTATTAATTTAAAAAAAAAAAATTATTGCTTATTTTATTTTTAATATATAATATAAAATTAATAGAAATATTTATGCTGGATATTTTATGTAATTCGAAGAAAAAAAAAGTTTTTCTTTAATAGAAAAATTTTTTTTCAACACTCTTATTAATTCATCAATAATAAATGAATATTTTTAAAATTTTTTAAATTAAACATTTTTATTGAAATGAATCGCATATGTAAGTATTAAATTAATACAAAATTAAAATTAATTTAAAAAATTTTTTAAAATTCAATATTTTTATTGGTAGAAGTATTAAATTACTACAAAATTAAAAGGTAAATAACTGGCGTACTCGATTATTTATTAATAACAAATGTATATTTTTTAAAATTTTAAAATTAAATATTTTTATTAAAATTAATCGTTTAAGTATTAAAATACTACAAAATTAAAAGGTAAATAACATACCTGGCGTACTCGATTATTTATTAATAATAAATGAATATTTTTTAAAATTTTAAAATTAAATATTTTTATTAAAACTAATCATAAAGTATTAAAGTATAAGTATTAAATTAAAAGTAATTAAAAGTAAATAACATGAATGATCTACTCATTCCATTATTAATCCATCAATAATAAATGAATATTTTTTAAAATTAAATATTTTTATTAAAATTAATCATATAAGTATTAAATTACTACAAAATTAAAAAGTAAACAACATACCTGGTGTACTCGATTATTTATTAATAATAAATGAATATTTTTTAAAATTAAATACTTTTATTAAAATGAATCATATAAGTATTAAATTACTACAAAATTAAAAAGTAAACAACATACGTGGTGTACTTGATGATGAAGTAGTATTGCATGGTTGATTCGAGGTAGTAATATTCATTGGTGTTGATAATTTTCTTGTTGTATTTGTATGAGCAGCTATTGTTACATGTGTTGTACCACTATTATTAACATTTGTATTACGATTTTGTTGTTGTTGTTGTTGTTGTTGTTGTTGCATATGATTTAAACGTGAATTTTTCCGCCTTCTTAATTGTTCCTCATTTAAAATCCATTCTTTTTTCATACCAACCTATAAAATTATCTATTATTAAACAAAATTAATTATTAAATCTTAAAAATTATTATTATTATTTTTTTCTTCATAAATTATTCAATAAAAAAAAAGAAATATATAATTTATTAGTATAAAATTTATTATATTTATTAATAAATAATTTAAATACTATTTGAATATCACTATTCATTAGAGAATTTTTATATTTAACAAATAAATAAAAATTACTATTATTATTTTTTTTTCATAAATTATTCAATGAAAAAATATATATATATAATTTATTAGTATAAAATTTATTATATTTATTAATAAATAATTTAAAAGAATTTTTATACTTAACAAATAAATAATTTTTTATATTTGTAGAATTTTATATTTAACAAATAATAAAAATAAAAAAAAATATATATATTCAAAACATTAGAAAAATTTACATTTATACAAATAAATATTTAAAAAAAAAAAAAAAAAAAAAACTTACAGAAAAACATTTTCGTAGCCGGCATTTCTGACAAAATCGACGGCTTACCGAATTAATATCACAGTCATCCGAATAAGGACATTTAAATTCCTGAAATAATTAATTGAATAATTAATTATTTCAAAACGTTTTAATAAGAATAATTTTTCATATCAAAAAAAAAAAAAAAATCAATTAAATAAAATTTATTATATTTCTATTAGTAGGAAAATAATAGATTAAATAATTAAATATAATAAAAATTTAAAATGTAACAATGCAAAAAAAAAAAAAAAAGGAAATAACAAAAACAAAGTGAATTAAAAAAAAAAATAAAACATGAGAAATAAAAAATTAAGAAAAAATAATAAAATGAATTAAATATGAGAAATAAAAAATTAAAAAAAATAAAAAAATAAAATGAGTTAAATATGAGAAATAAAAAATGAAAAAAAATGAATTAAATATGAAAAATAAAAAATAAAAAAAATAAATTAAATATAAGAAATAAAAAACAAAAAAATAAAATGAATTAAATATAAGAAATAAAAAATAGAATGAATTAAATATGAGAAATAAAAAATAAATAAAATGAATTAAATATGAGAAATAAAAAATAAAAAAAATAAATTAAATATCAGAAATAAAAAATAAAATGAATTAAATATGAGTAAATAAAAAATAAAAAATTAAATATACGAAATAAAAAATAAAAAAAAATAAATTAAATATAAGAAATAAAAAATAAAATTCAAACCTTAGGTCTTAGAGCATTTCTTCTGAAGAAAGCTTTACATGATTCGCATGTGATAACATTAAAATTATAACCCGTTGCATGATCACCACATACGCGACACGTTTTTTGACGACGTCGTGCTTCCTTAAAAAGTAAAAAAAAAATTTTTTTTTTTCAAAAATAAAATTTATTACAAAATATGTTTTTTGTTTTGTTTTTTAAATAAATAATCATTACTTTGGAATAAATTTTAAATAATTTTATAAATTTCATATTGTTATTGAAAAAATTATTTATTTTATTTTTATAACAATTTCACAAAAAATAAAATTTATTACAAAAAATATGCTTGTGTCTTCTTTTTTTTTAAATAATCATTGGTTTGGAATAAATTTCAAATAATTCATACAAAATATATTTATGTTTTTTTTTTTTTTTTAAAAAATGTTTGGAATAAATTTTAAATAATTTTATAAATTTCATATTGTTATTGAAAAAAATTATTTATTTTTAATCCTTATAATATTTCATATAAAAAACAAAAAAGACAATATTAAAATTTGTAAAAAATTCAATACAAAAAAAAAAAATCATTTAGTCGATAAAAAAAAAAGAGTAATTATCATCATATATAATAATTTCTCGAATTTTCAATTAAATTATAATCAATCTATCCGATTGTAAATGTTTCATATTATTTTTTTGAATTTCATAATTTTAAAATTTATAATAGAAATAAAATATTAACAATAAAATTATTAAAATATAATCAATCTAACCGATTGTAAATGTTTCATATTTTTTTTTTTGAATTCCATAATTTTAAAATTTATAATAGAAATAAAATATTAACAATAAAATTATTAAAATATAATCAATCTAACCGATTGTAAATGTTTTCATATTATTTAAATTTTATAATTTTAAAATTTATAATAGAAATAAAATGTTAATTAAATGCTTCAAACAAACATCAGTGCCAGTTTCTATATTTGGTGAACAACAACCACTGGATGACGGAGCATTTTGACGTACGCTACCGGTATTCATTGTTAATTCATCCATCATATTTAAACCTACACCGGATAAACCACCTGCAAATAAATTAGCATCATTCTACAATCATTTGACAAAAATTTCAATTCAATCAATGAAAAATAACATTTTATTTTAAATTTTTTTTTTTTTAAATTTTTAATAGATTTACTTTATAATAGATTTTAAAATTTATAATAGATTTAATTTACTTAAAAAAATTTATAATAGATTTACTTTACAATACATTTAATTTACTTTAAAAATTTATAATACATTTACTTTATAATAGATTTTAAAATTTATAATACATTTAATTTACTTTAAAAATTTATAATAGATTTACTTTATAATAGATTTTAAAGTTTACAATACATTTAATTTACTTTAAAAATTTATAATAAATTTACTTTATAATAGATTTTAAAATTTATTTACTTCAAAAAATTTATAATAGATTTACTTTATAATAGATTTTAAAAATTATAATACATTTACTTTACTTTAAAAATCTATAATACATTTACTTTATAACAGATTTCAAAATTTATTTACTTCAAAAAATTTATAATAGATTTACTTTATAATAGATTTTAAAATTTATAATACATTTAATTTACTTTAAAAAAATTATAATACATTTAATTTACTCCAAAAAATTTATAATACATTTACTTTATAATAGATTTTAAAATTTACAATACATTTAATTTACTTCAAAAAATTTTGTAATACAAAAAAATTTACTTTAAAATTTATAAAAAGTAAATTTCAAAAGAAAAAAAACAAACAAACAATATCTTTTCTATAAGCAATAATATTTACTAAATTAACTAGTTTATAGCTTTATATAAAACTAGAACGATAAGCTTAAATGCAATTTATTTATTAGCATTTATTTACCAAAAATATTTGGAAATTTTATATTATATTTATTTCAAATTTTTTTTTCTCTTTTTACTTTGTATTATTCTAATCGAAAATAATATTTAACGAACTATTTGTCACACTCATATTTATTCATTAAAATAATTTTAATTAATAATAATTATTAATTATTAGTTTTATAGTTTACCCTAAAATCACATTTTTTTTTTATCAGTGACAAATTTAAAAAAAAAAATAAAAATAAAAGTAAAAGGAAGGAAGGAATAATTATATGATAAGAAATAATTAAAGAAATATTTTATTGCTACAATATTAATTTGAATAAATTTAAAGGAATGAAAAAAAAAAAAGAAATTCATTAAAAGTGAAAAAATTAAGAATTAATTTAAAAAATGAAAAAATTTAAGAATTAAAGAATGAGATTAAAAAAATGAAAAAATTTAAAAATTAATCAAAAAAATGAAATTAAAAAATGTCAATAAGTACAGCAAGAAGGAAGGAACAATTATATGATGAGAAATAATTAATTCGAATTTTAAAAATTTAAAAGAATGAAAAAAAAAAAGAAATTAAGAATTAATTTAAAAAAATGAAAAAATTTAAGAATTAATTTTAAAAAAAATGAAAAAATTTAAGAATTAATTTAAAAAAAATGAAAAAAATTATTAATTAAAAAAATGAAAAAAATTAATAATTAATTAAAAAAATGAAAAAAATTAAGAATTAATTTAAAAAATATGAAAAAATTTAAGAATTAATTTGAAAAATATCAATAAGTACAAGAAGATATATTCTATCAAAAAAAAAAAAAAAAAAGAAAAACTGAAGTTTGGTAATTTAATATACCCTTCAATAATCGCAAAAGATTGCCTGCAGCAACTGCCGGCAATGAACCTGGTGCTACCGTTACCGTAATACCGGAACCACCACCACCACCGTTACATCGTATTGCTGCTGCTGCATTAGTTGATGTTACCATGGTTGCTGCTGTATTACCAACTAGTGTACCCGTATCTGTACCTGTTGTTATAATATTTTCACCCGATAAAATTTCTGCACCACTATTTGATATAATTGTTGATGCTGGTACCGGTGCCGCTACCGCTGGCATTTGCGTTGTTACTGACGGATCATTACGCATTGATCCAGGACTATGAATAACTGGATCATCTGGTGTACTCATTTGCTGCTGGAAAAATATTTTATTAAATTAAAAAAAAAAAAAGAAAAAAAAAATTATTGCAAAAATTTTTTCTTTCTCTCTCTCTCTCTCTTTTTGTCTCTTAATAAATTTATAAATTTATTCATTTCATTTGCTTCTTTCTTTTTTTTTTTTTTGATTATTTACAATTAATTAATTAACTATATCAAAAAAAAAAAAAATATTATATTTTATTAAATTAATCATTTTTATTAAAAAAAATTATAAAATTAAATAAATTATCTATGTAAAGGAAAAAATTTTGAATATTTGATGTAAAAAAAAAAAAAAAAAGAAAATTAATAAATTTATTTATTTATTATTTATTTAACTATCTTCCAAATGTTTTGAAAATATCAAAAATTTTTCATTTCCTATATATTATCTTATATATTTATATTTACATTATTTTATACTTTTTCAAAAGTAAAAAAAACTTTTTTTCAACAAATTGAAAATTTCCGAATTTTCTTTTCTTTTGTTCTAAAATTCAACTATACTTTTTAAAAAAAAACCATTGTACTTTTAAAATCTTTTAAATTTATTTTACTCCTGAAATAAAACTTTTGGATGTCAAATAATGTGGAAAAGGGGGGGAAGGGAGAGAGGGGAAGGGGTTTTCCATCCTTGGGATGTACTTTACTATACCCTTTTTTTACGAGAGTACAAGTCTGTAAAATAATAAAAATGAAGTACAACATAAGGACAGTTTTACGTTTTAAAAAAAAAAAAATTGAAATTGAAATTTTTTTTTTTTTTTCTACGTCAATTTTGATGTATTCAAGGATTCATAAATCTATGATGTACTTCTCATGAACTTTTCAAAAAAAAAAAAAATAAAAATAAAAAATTAATCATACATAACATTTGAAATGCATAAAAAGAAAGATGGAAAATTATTTGTGTGAATTTTGAAAGTTTATTAATTCTTAAAAAAAAAAAGGGAAAAAGTAAGTTAATTGATAATTAATTGATAAGATAATTTATTTTTAACTGTGAATTTTGAAAGTTTATTAATTCTTAAAAAAAAAAGAAAAAAGTAAGTTAATTGATAAGATAATTTATTTTTAACTGTGAATTTTGAAAGTTTATTAATTCTTAAAAAAAAAAGGAAAAAAGTAAGTTAATTGATAAAATAGTTTATTTTTAATCATGTAATGATAATAATAATAATTCATTTGAAGATAATTATAATAAATACTTTGAATATATCTTAATGTTAAGTATCAAAATAAAACTTTTATTTTAAAAAGAAAAAGTAAGTTAATTGATAATTAATTGATAAGATAATTTATTTTTAATCAAATAATGATAATAATTCATTTGAAGAAGGAAGATTTTTGATAATTATAATAAATACTTTGAATATATCTTAATGTTAAGTATCAAAATAAAACTTTTGTTTTTTTAAAAAAGAAAAAGTAAGTTAATTGATAATTAATTGATAAGATAATTTATTTTTAATCAAATAATGATAATAATTCATTTGAAGAAGGAGAATTTTTGATAATTATAATAAATACTTTGAATATATCTTAATGTTAAGTATCAAAATAAAACTTTTGCTTTTGTTTTTTTTTATAAAAGAAAAAGTAAGTTAATTGATAAAATAGTTTATTTTTAATCATGTAATGATAATAATAATAATTCATTTGAAGATAATTATAATAAATACTTTAAATATATCTTAATGTTAAGTATCAAAATAAAACTTTTATTTATTTTAAAAAGAAAAAGTAAGTTAATTGATAATTAATTGATAAAATAATTTATTTTTAATCATATAATGATAATAATTCATTTGAAGAAGAAAAATTTTTGATAATTATAATAAATACTTTGAATATACCTTAATGTTAAGTATCAAAATAAAACTTTTGTTTATTTTAAAAAGAAAAAGTAAGTTAATTGATAATTAATTGATAAGATCATTTATTTTTAATCAAATAATGATAATAATTCATCTGAAGAAGGAGAATTTTTGATAATTATAATAAATACTTTGAATATATCTTAATGTTAAGTATCAAAATAAAACTTTTGTTTTTTTTTTTCATTTACCATTGAAAGAGCAAAATAAAATTAGCTAATTAGAAATGCTTTTTTAAAGTTATACTTAAATTAAACTAAAAAAAGAAAATTGTTTTTTAATTTTTGTTATCATTTTTATCATTTTTTTTTTTTGTATTTGCTAAATTAAATATATATACTATTTTTTTTCATTTTTCTTATAAAAATTATTGCTTTTTTTAAAAAAATTCTCATCATCATAAGATTAGAAATTAAAAAAAAAAAAGAAAAAAGAATGAAAAAATTGAAAATTTGTTTGATGAAACAAATTTTTAACAAAAATAAAATTAAAAAAAATTTTTTTGTTTAAATTTTGATAAATTAGTTATGACACAGTCTTTCATATACAAATTCTTTACATTTAGATATTTTATTAAAAATTGAACTTTTTTTTATTTTTCATTTTCTTTTTCATTTACATCAAATGAAAAATTTATCATTGAATAATAATAATAATAATAATAATAATAATAATAATAATAATAATAATAATAATAATAATAATAATAATAGTAAATATAAGTGAATGAATTTTTTAATTTGATTGAAAAAAAAAATTTTTTTTAAAAAATAAAAAAAATTATAATTGCAATTTTGCAATTATAACTATTTGATTCATTTTTATTTCAATAAAATTCCATCTTTTTCTTTTTTTCTTTCTCCCTCTCTCTCTCTCTTTCTCTCTTTCTCTCTCTCTTTCTCCTTGTTTAAGTAAAAATTTAAATTTTTTTTTTTTTTTAATAAAAGCATATTGAGAAATAAGGAAGAATAGTTTTTTGTTATTTCCTGATAAAAAAACAAAAAAAAAAGAAAATATTTTTAGAAAAATTCATAATTGAAAAAAAAAAAATGTATGATGGAATGAGTCATAAAGTTGAATATGAATGAGTCATAAAATTGAATCAATTTTTTTTTTTTGAATGCATTAAATTTCTTGATTTAATCCTTTTATGAAAAAAAAGAAAATGATAATAGATAATGAAAAAAATAAAAAGCAAAAAATTCCATTTGATTAAATTTTATATTTTTCTTTTCTTTTTTCTGATTTAAAAAATAATTTTAGGAATAAATAAAAAAAAAAAAAAATTGAAATAATTTCAAATATTGCCACCAAGATAATAATAATAATAATAATAATAATAATAATAATAATAATAATAATAATAATAATAATAATAATAATAATAATAATAATAATAATAATAATAATAATAATAATAATAATAATAATAATAATAATAATAATAATAATAATAATAATAATAATAATAATAATAATAATAATAATAATAATAATAATAATAATAATAATAATAATAATAATAATAATAATAATAATAATAATAATAATAATAATAATAATAATAATAATAATAATAATAATAATAATAATAATAATAATAATAATAATAATAATAATAATAATAATAATAATAATAATAATAATAATAATAATAATAATAATAATAATAATAATAATAATAATAATAATAATAATAATAATAATAATAATAATAATAATAATAATAATAATAATAATAATAATAATAATAATAATAATAATAATAATAATAATAATAATAATAATAATAATAATAATAATAATAATAATAATAATAATAATAATAATAATAATAATAATAATAATAATAATAATAATAATAATAATAATAATAATAATAATAATAATAATAATAATAATAATAATAATAATAATAATAATAATAATAATAATAATAATAATAATAATAATAATAATAATAATAATAATAATAATAATAATAATAATAATAATAATAATAATAATAATAATAATAATAATAATAATAATAATAATAATAATAATAATAATAATAATAATAATAATAATAATAATAATAATAATAATAATAATAATAATAATAATAATAATAATAATAATAATAATAATAATAATAATAATAATAATAATAATAATAATAATATAATAATAATAATAATAATAATAATAATAATAATAATAATAATAATAATAATAATAATAATAATAATAATAATAATAATAATAATAATAATAATAATAATAATAATAATAATAATAATAATAATAATAATAATAATAATAATAATAATAATAATAATAATAATAATAATAATAATAATAATAATAATAATAATAATAATAATAATAATAATAATAATAATAATAATAATAATAATAATAATAATAATAATAATAATAATAATAATAATAATAATAATAATAATAATAATAATAATAATAATAATAATAATAATAATAATAATAATAATAATAATAATAATAATAATAATAATAATAATAATAATAATAATAATAATAATAATAATAATAATAATAATAATAATAATAATAATAATAATAATAATAATAATAATAATAATAATAATAATAATAATAATAATAATAATAATAATAATAATAATAATAATAATAATAATAATAATAATAATAATAATAATAATAATAATAATAATGATCATAATAATAATAATAAATAAATAAATAATATAATAATAGTACAGTAATACATTGATAAAAACAAACTGATAAAAAGTAATGATGATAATAATGATAAATACAGTGAAAAAAAAAAAAAAACATAAATATATTTTAAAAAAAGTAAAAAATAAAAAATATATATATATATAAAAAAGTAAAAAATATATTTAAAAAAAAAAAAAGAAAAATAATCAATTGGATTATTTGAAAAAAAAATATATATAAATTTCAAATTTCATGACATATACTACTACTATTACTACTACACAACGATTGTTTACATAACATACAATATATACATGCATACATACACTCACATACATACATACATACACTCACATACATACATACATACATACACTCACATACATACATACATACATACATACGT